GAATGAGAGGCAAGTCTTGTTTTATCGAGTCCAATATTACGACCTTTACAGTATTTGATTTATGAGGTAGGTTCGACTAAAAGAAACATTCTGACTGCTAACTCTCGTATACGTTATGTTTTTCTTTTCAGTGATCCTATAAGTAAAACAGAGATAGAGATATAACGAAAGAGAAAGAAAAATAGAGAAATTATAAGAATATGGAATAAAGACATTTATAACAGCAATTAGTCAATTCAATCAGATATCACAATTATAACAATTGACCTCGTTGTATCTCCCATTTCATTCCGTACTCTGATTTCAAACTAAAATTCATCTTGACTACTCGAAGTTACCCTGAAGCATAGTTCTACAAACCCATTCCGAGTTTGCTGTTTAAGATTTAGGACCCGTCCTGCCGACATTTAAGTGGCCTTTCTTCTTTTTCTTTTTATTTAAGTTAAAAGTACCAGAGGAATACCCAATAGCAAGCTGTGTTGCATTGCACCCTACAGTCTCCAAGGATTCATCATCGATGCTTTTGTGCCGGATCCTTATTAGTAATTTTTTCTTGCTTTTTCTTTTGAGTATACGCCTACGTTTAGTTTTGTTGTTGTTGTTGTTGTTGTTAATGTCCATGTCTCAAAGTTTTGACCACCCGCGTTATACGATTTTCTAGTCTCTCTCACGTGGGGATAAAACAAACGACTATGGTCCTACTTCGTTATAGTCTTCATCCTTCCACTTAATTATACCATCTTCGATTCCTTTGTAATTAGCTTGTAATTTTATCGTCGATTCGAAGATTGGGTGACGGCGTTTTTAAGCTTTTATATGATTCTTCTTTGAATTTGATGGGGGAGTTTTGTTGTAAGGGAATTTTCGAGAGGTTCTTTTCTTTGAAAATGATGTAAGTTTTGAAATATAAAAAATGTCCTAATAGAATCGAATCTAAGATCGAGAAAACTATCGATAATGAAGGAAGAGGGAGCATTAAATTATCAATTCATACACGTCCTTCTTAAACTCGTTACGAAATGCGATATTCAGATACTCTCAACGGGGAGGCGCGCAACATGCTTCGTTATGTGAGAGGTAAGTTGTTCCTGCATAAAAAAGAAGACTGAAAAAAAGTAAAAAGCAGGTAAAAAAGAGTAAAAAATAAAATAAACCCTAGAAGTAAGTTAGTCACCAGTTCTTCTCGTCCTTGTCGTCCTCACCATCGTCCTCACTCACCATCGTCCTCACTCACCATCGTCCTCACCATCGTCATAGTCGTATTTATTAATTTTATGAGATTTTATGGGGAAGGTGGAGCAAGAGTCGATGTCGCTTCTGCCTATTCATCATCGGCCATTTCCGAGGAGTATTCCGGTAATAATTCAGAATTTCATGGGGTATGTTGGAAGAAAGAGAAGAAAGAGGTAGAAATTCTTTAGCATAAGACGAAAGGAAACAGCTGTCGTCGAAGGGCACGAGCGATTTTCTTGCTTCGTCTTTTATATCACGGGATAAAAGACGTGGGATCGTTTCTAAGTTAACGAGTATCCAATTAACAACATTATCTTCTACCCTTTTATTCCCCTCCCATAATCCCTCCAACGAACCTTTTTGTTTCCCCGGCTTTCAGCTAGACACTACGAGTGAAAATGATTGAAATTGTTGCGTTCTAGATAAGAATAATAGGATGGTGTTATTACCGTTTATCTTTAGATATTATTATTATTATTATTATTAATATTATCTATGAATATAATGAATAAGGATTCCTTAAGGAACCTTATTTTCCCAACATCATTTTAAAATTACAATCCAAAAAATACAATTCTGCTACAGTATTCTTATTAAATAATAATTATATTGATGAAATAAAAAATATTTAGGCCATCCTTAAATGTTAAACTCCTGGAAAGAAAGTCGCGTTCCTCAAAGATTTAGTACACATATTCACGTAGAATGAAAGAAAAGAGAAAGAGAAAGAGAATGGTAATGCTAATTCGGCCATTTCGCGAGTTTATCTTCATGCAATCATGTTCGTTTTCTTTCTTGGAATAGCCATTAAGATAAAAGCCATCTAATAAAATCTGTTCGAACCCTGTTTGTGATAGGAAAGAAGAAGAAAGTTGTCCGATAAGATCTCAGATCCAACCACGTATTTAATGTTAATTATATAAGCCTGATTAAATTGTTCTTAAATAATAACGATAATTGACATTATTTACATCTTCCTTAATTTAACATCGTTCATATTATAAATCTATCGTTAAATTGAGATTTAACTTTTTATTAGAATACAAATTGTTATTTGGTGTTTTCTCCCTGGTCATTGGTAACCTCCATGACAATTAACGTATCAAGTTTTTTAATAGAACATTTAAAAGAAAGATTGAAGTGTAAGAAAAAGATGAGTTTAAATGTAGGCATATTTTTGTACTTTTCCTGCTATTGCTCTCCCCTTTCTATTTGTTTCCACTCTTCTTCTTCTTCTTTTTCTTCTTCTTTTTTCGATTCTCTTTAACTTCATCTTCAAATACCAAGTAAATAATATTTCAATAATTTCGATCGAAATGTCAGAAATATAAGAGAACAGAATTGACCATTTGTAAACAATCATAAAATATGAATGAAGTGAAAAGAAGAAAAGGAGTCTAAATTTAAGTGCAATTTTATACACAAGCAGGAATGAGAAACGATAAAATTCGACTGTTTTTAAACACCCATAAAAAATCAATGTAAAATAAAAATAATACCAGCGTAAATGTAGATGCAATATTTTGACGAATGCATATGCGTGTGCCTGTTAGGAGGGTGAATTTGTTTATTAGATATTTCAATTTTTTCGCATTACAGAAAAAAAAAAAAAAAAAAAAAAAATAAAAAATGAGGGAATCCAAATTTAGATGCAATTTTTCTGAATGCATATGTGTGTATGTATAAAGATATGTTTTTTTTTTTGCTTCTAAATGTTTCGATTATTATCTTTCCGGACAATTTCTTCCCTTTCGATTCTATTCTCGTGGGTGTGTACTTTATTTAACGGAACTTTCGGGGAGTAAAAGAGAAAAAAGTGAAGAGAAAAAACAAGCGCCGGCGCATGCCTCTGAGGAATATTTTTCTTTTTTATGGGAAGGCCAGGGACCTAACGGCGAACTTGAATAAATAAATACTCGTAATAGAAAGAAGAAGAAGAAGAAGAAGAAGAAGTTGAAAGTTGAAGAAGATGGAAAAAAAGGTAGTCATATCTATTTTTCACGCGATTGTTTCCTTAAAGAAGAACCTGAAAATACTTTAACCACAATCTTAATCCCTGTTGCCCTTCTACTACCAATCCAACTGCCATCATTTCGTTCCATTACTTGGAACTTTTAAGTATTCTACACTCATATACATATCGATCATCTAAATTTACAATTGAAGTGAAAGAAAGAAGAAGCTAACGATCCAGATACAGAAAAAGAAAGAGAGAGAGAGAGAGAGAGAGAGAGAGAGAGAGAGAGAGAGAAATAAAAAAGGTAACAGGCGTAAATTTAAATCGCACGATGCCTCGAAACTCGATGAAAAGTTTCAAAGGTCTCCCGTAGACTAGTTTAAGAGGTCAATTGTATTCTTGGAACATAGCACATACACCCACACAGAGAAACGCTTTCTAGATCCTGGTTGAGCTTCCCAATCGGCATTCTAACGTTAAATTGGCCGATTCGAATTTCGATCGATGGCTTAGGAGTTCTCTGAGGGAAATTCTCTTACGTTATTCGAATCCTGAACATTTCGATAGCGCATCGAGGTCACCAAAGCCCCTATCAAATCCTCAGATCTAATTTTCGATTCTAATTCTATCTAATATACGACTCATCGATGAATATTTCCTTGATCAATTTATAAATAAAAATAAAGATAAAAAAAGAAATCAATTTCATATATTGGACAGTGGACTTGTTGGGTAATATTATCATTAATTACAGTCAACTTTTCTAATCACGATCTCCGTTTGCTAGAGGACTTTCATCCTTATCTTAAACGATAATTTTACTTTTCCACGAGCGATAGATTAACACTCTGGTTAATTACGATAAATAGATATTTGTAAGTATACATGTATGTGTATCTGTCTTTATATTTATGTATGAGCGTATGAGTGTAGACTTGTTGGATGTAAACGATAATAATATACGATCTTATTTAAGAAATTTATGATCTCGATTATCGAGAAACTCCAATTTTTCTTTGACACTTTAACGCGCGCGCGCACACACACACACACACACACACACAGAGAAGGTTCTCATGTGTTGTAGAAAACACATTAAAAGAAACTTGATATATCCATTAATACTCTATCACATCGTTTCTCAAACTATAATACATATACCACTAATGGTATATTAGATTATTTTTGGTGGTACAATTTTGACACTAAATATTCGAATCAATGTTCAGAAAAAAATATATTTTTTAAATATTCTAACCAGTTTTATTTACGGATATTATTAAATAATATTCATTGGAAATGTTTTATTAATTGATTATAAATATTTCATTTCTGGATGCATTGATTTCAATTGGGAAAATACTTTTATGACGATACATATATTTACGTGATAGAAAATTGAAAATCTTTGAGAACCTCTGCTTTATCATATTGGAAAATAAAAGAGAGAAATATGACATAAAAATGTTTAATTACATTTAAATGTGTCATCGTTGAAACGGTAGATTTGATCGTTTTTAGTATAACAGAAAGAAAAGAAGGAGAAAAAGAAAGGGGGAGAGAAAAATGTGTGCAATTAAAAGCTACGAGCTTTAAATAGGAAGAAAGAAAAATATTCTAGTAATATTTATAATGCATGATTGCACTTTGAAACCTGTCATCGTGTTAAATTCTAAACGGTATAATCGGGTGTTTTAATAAATTCTAACTGTAATAGATAAAAATAAAGGAAATATTAAGGAAATTAGTCGAATGAAGAAAAGACAAAATGTAAAAATAAATAATAATAAATAATAATGGTGTGACTTACTGTAGTCGGAAGTGTCGTCATTGGATCCGTTAACCGTGCCATCAGGCAAGATCTGTAGATGACGATTCTTGATGTACATCTGAATCTTCCTGGAGGCACCAGTAATGTGGGAGAGATTGGCCGATCTCTCAGCTCTGACACCGGCGTCAGTGATCAAGTCGATCGGTGCACCACTTACTACAACACTACTAACGATGCTACCGATTCCAACTAAACCAGTTAACTTTCCGGGATTAATCCCGCAGAATGACGATGACAAAGAATACGATCTCGCACTAAGCTTAGGCACACTCGATTTTAACAGTCCACTATGGCCAAACGCAAGGAGAAATAAAAGGAAGGCTAGCTGAAAGTAGAAACGACACTTTTGTTTCAATGCGTATTTGGTATCGGCGAAAAATCTCGAGGATCGGGAGGAGGATGAAGAATAAGAAGATAACGAAGCAGAGGAAGATGACGATTCTGAGGATTTTGTAAAGCAGTTTAAAGGAAATTTATGGGATATAATGACACTCCCCGTGGAAGATGCGTAAGAATAGGAGGAAGAGTTATTGGACAATGAACTCGATCGATCGGCAGCCCGTTTAAGAGGTTCCTTAATAGATCGCGAGCGATGACTAGAAAATAATAGCGTATTTTTTTGAATAACGCGACTCCTCGAGTTAACGGACGAACAGGAGGACGACGAGGACGATAAGGATATAGATGATGGTAAGGAGAATGTCCGATCATTGTTAGAAAAGTTTTTGCACGAATAAAGTTTGCGATCTTCCTTGCCGAAGGAAGATGAATAATTCGTACGTTGGTAGCTCCGATCGCGGAATTTCCTTGGTAAGGAAACAGTCCTGGACCGTAAGCGTCGATGAATAATAGTCTCTAGGGAACAAGACAAGCTTCTTCTGTTGGAAAATCTTTTGCTCGTCGTCTTGGTCGTCGTTGTAGCGGTGTTCCACCAAGTATTAGTATTAACAGTAGCTGCAGCATTAGCGCAAGTAGTAGTAGTCGTAATACTCGTGCATGGTCCGGAGATGTAAGTAACGACATTCTCATTGGTTAATATAGATTCAGCATCCTTGATAAGATCAACGTTAGATCTATGCCGTCGATGATGATAACTATGATAACTATGATGATGATGATGATGATGATGATGACGACGACGACGACAAGAAGAATTTCGTTGAAAGCGATCATCATATCGATTCAGGCGGCGAGTACAACCACGAGGATTATTGACTTCACCACCGATGACTCGAGCTTCCTGATGATGCCTTTCGTGAGACCTTTCATGCGACCTTTCGTGAGAACTCTCGATGATAGGATTCGAGAGCCTTAGAAGTAGCTCATCTTTCTTAGTAGATGTTGATAAGAGGATTGGTTGAGGGCAGTCGGCACGGTAATGACAGTGCAGCACCCTTCGCCCGCCCGTGTCGATCTCAGTGGGCATGACGTTCTCATCTACTCTCTTTCCTCTTACTCTTCCTCAATCCCTACTCTACTTTGTCTTTTATTTTCAAGCGATTATTAATAAATACGCTCGATTTCATTGGATATTATTTATCTACCAGCTGCTAACATCTTTTTTCATTCGAATATATTTTCCCTTTTGCGTTAGCCTAGTTTTCTTTCTCTCTCCCTATATCTCAACCGATCTTACTCTCGATTAGGGCCCCATATCACTTCCGCCTTGAAAAGCCGATTCTCGATGAGAACGGAGGATGCTGCACCCGGTCCACTGGCCGCGTACTACATCTTCGATACTCTCGCATCATTAACAATCTTCTTCTTCTTCTTCTTCCTCCACTTCGTCCTTCTCCACCTCTTCTTCGTTTTGTTCGTATGTTGAATATACGTGTTTTGTAAAAAGGACAGGCGAAGAAGACTCTAGGCGCCGGTCAATCCTCTTACTCTCCCACACGTCAGAACGGTTTGTTCGCGAATATCGGGAACCAAGGGATCGGTTTACGAGGTGGCATCTGATCCCTCGTCGACTCTTTTATCTTATTTCTTTTTTTCTTAGTATATACTCGGCGCGTTCGATCTGCCGCCGGAGGCCGACGTAAGTCCCTCTTTAAACGGTTTTCTCGATGAGTTACCTCGGCTACCGGTCGTTAACGCCGCCTTTTTCTTATTCTTACCTCTACAACCTCAAGTTACTTTTTTCTTCGAACCTTTTTAATCAAGACACCACCGATTACAACCGATATATATATATGTCTATCTGCCTTTAACTTCACTTTATGTAACGGTTTTTACACCACTTTGTCCTTTTACTTTTATTTTTTCTTTTTTTTCCAAATAATTTCGGATCAAAATCTCGTCTCTGCAATAGTTTGCTTTTCTGCGTCCTTTGAATTTTTACTTGGTGTATTCAAGTTATTCTATGATTTCCTTTTTCAATTATTCGGATTATGATCAATCACTGTGTAGATTATATGTATGCACTTGATCGTTGCGGGCGATTGGATGTTTTTATTAACGTGCAACTATGAAAAAGGGCCACGATCATCACCCCACCATGAACAACACCATCACACATTACATTGATCGATAAGCACTTAGAAGAAAGCTTTTGACACTATCACCTAACACCACCACTTGAGCTTGTTATCAACACTATGCTACTACACCACTCGTGCCACCGATTTCGTCTAACTTTTATTTCTCTTTCTCTCACCGATTTCCGTCGCGGGAAGTCTGACACCTGCACAAGCTCTCTTTTACTTCGCGATGAATGAAAGTATTACGAAGGATAGTGTACGTTCTGTGTGTGTGTGTGTGCGTGCGAGAGAGATAGAGAGAGAGAGAGAGGGGGCTATAGAACCAGTCCAGGAGTGACAAATTTAATTAATTAACAAATAAAAAAAAAACAAGAATTAATACAGAGAGAAAGGACACTTTCAGAAGAAGAAGAAGAAGAAGAGGAAGAGGATACAATTTAATCTTCTATCTGTCTCTCTCTCTCTCTCTCCCTCTCTCTATCTCTCTCTCACTCTCTTTCACTCGTTCGTATTTCCTTGTTCTGCTTCCGGGTGTTCTCCACAAGGGGTTGATGATAATGATGATGATAATCAATGCCTCGTTAGAACCTTTATACAAAACTGATAGCACAGTTAATTATTATGCGAATTAACTAATACTCGCGTGTTATTTTGATCTGAATAATATTTCCTCGTGGTAGTTGGTATAAAATATTACTGAAAGTAACACGCGACTCGTGTGCCCGGTATTTAGTTGAAACCGGTAAACAAAAAATAGAATAAAAATAAAGAAAAGACGAATCGGAATAAGAATAAGATTCGAGAAGAAGTAGAATAATTATGGTAGTGTATATGAGTGTGTGTGTGTGTGTGGGTTATCTCTGGTCGAGGTCGGATGATGCCGGTGCGGCGTCCGAGAAACTACTGAACGAGTCCCGTGGTTCTGTTCTCTGGCAGAGCGGCGGCTCGGCCACACGTTGCTGGTGCTGGTGCTGCTGGTGTTGCTGCTGCTGCTGGTGGTGTTGTTGCTGCTGCTTCTCCTCGTCAATTCGTTCTCGTAGTAGAGAAACAGAACGCCGGTGGTGGCGGCAGCAGCAGCGACGACGACGGCGGCACGAACACCACCACCAATACAACTTTTCTTGTATTAACTTCTCTGTCGTTGAGAGTAAAACCAATACCAACGCAAGCTTCGGGATCGACGAGTTACTCACACCAAACTCTACCGACACACCATCCATCCCGTCCCGTCCGTTAATGACGAACTTGCGTTCCTCTCTATACCTCTATTCTATTATTTTCTGCTACTCTTTATAGTGTGCACCTTACTACTATTCCCTTCACATGGTCCTGTTACTGCCTATTACTATTACCAAAACTCACTCACTTATTCTCTTTTTATTTAATGTTCTAGATGTAATCCTAGTGCAAGCACAGTACTGCTACTATTACTATTGTGCTAAAATTCGAGAAACGTAGACACTTTCTCTAATCTAACACAGCACAGTATCGCTACTACCCCCCAATATCAAACACTATACTATCCAATAAGAAACTACCCTTTTACACTTTCTGATTTATCCCTTTTAAATGTACACACATATTAGTTTAAAAGTGTATAAGTTTATCCGTCTATAGAAGTATTATAGTAGTAGTTCCTAGTGGTAATCTCGTGTTGTCTCGTTTCGCCCGGTTCCGTCCCATCCCAGAGACGACGCAGCACGCGACAGATCTGGATCCTCCTTTCCCCGCTTCTCTCTCTCTCTTTTACTCTCTCTTTCTTTTTCCCTTTTCTTTCCCTCTCTTTTTCAATCCTCCTTCTTCTGCCTCTCTTTCTCTCGCCCCTATCGCAACTCCACCACACGCGCCTCTCTCTCTACACCTTTCTCCTTTTTATTCTCTTTTCTTATTCTCTTTTCTTATTCTCAGACCACGCGTATCTCTCAATTCAATCCACTACAATTTCCCCACTCTACTTTTTTAATCTTCGATCTCTTTTCTCCCTAGTTTTAATCAAATGAAAAGTATTGACAATTTTCATATTTTTTTTTCTATTCTTGCTCTTTCTCGAATTCCAATAATATCATCCCAAAGATTCAAAGAAACCGTCAGCAATTTTTTCTCGGTCTATCTCTTTCTCTTTCTTTTTCTACGAACAAAGAAGCGAACTAGAGGCACTTCTAAGGCACACTAATCGCTGGAATCAGAAATCTTCATCTGATAATCCAAATAGTTTCATTCGTTTGGATTCATCCCTTTTTAACCTCGTGTTCTAAGCTCTTTCTCTCTATTCTTTTTCCGAATCACTTTCACGATTACTATTTGGTTTTTAATTCCATTTTCCAGTTTTCATTAAAAGTTTCAACGCAATTGCTGTCTCTTCTTCTTCTTCTTCGTTTCTCTTTCTTACAAATCAAAGATGATAACGATGAAGATGATGACGATGATGATCGTCAAATGCTTTTCAGTTCTTCCTTAATTCATTCGTTTACGTACGAACTTGGTCTTCTCTGCATATTCCTAGAATTTCAATACAAATTCTATGGTTACTATAAATGGTTTTTTTTTTATTTTTTTTTTTTTTTTTTTTTTTTTTTTTTTTTTTTTTTAAGTAATGTTTCAATTTTTTCGTTTCAACAACAACCATCAATTAAACATGTTTTTATGTGAACAAATATTACGAATACAATTAATAATCCTAACACTGTGTTAATTTCAATATTAAAAATTAAAAAATAATGTGTATTTATATGCAAATGAACGAATGACTTACAAATTTCCATTTTTACTTGTATAAAATAAAGAAATAACATTGCTATTATTCCTATGGATTATCTACATCCGATTATCTAATTCTAAGAACGCAAACCATTTCAAAATGTTATTTGGAATTGAGAATAAGATTAGAAATCGTGTCTGAGGTCTTTACCGATCGTCATGATGATAATGTAATCCTTGATACTTGCTCTAAGAGATTATTACTATTTCTCTATCTCTTTCATACACTTTCGTATATATAGTGTCCTTTAAGAAAGCTTTTATTGGGAAAGAAGAAAGTTATGAGAGTGCATTTAAGACGGAAACCAGACGCAAAATTCTTAAATGAAAGTTTCTTGCTCTTTATATTATATGTACATTCGAAAGTAATCCATCAAAATGCATCTCGATCAAACGTTAACTCACTTTCAACGATATCAATTACAATGAAAAATGTTATTATTGCATTGCACAAAAAGAAATATTACATTTTTGTAGACAACGTGGATACACGATCTTGTAAGGAAAAGAAAAAGAGAAATAAAATTATGATAAAATAAAAAAAAAGATAGAAAAAAATGTTGGTCCTTTTGATGGAGGAGACGATAGTAAATTTTCCTTTTATTCAGTAGCAAAAGAGGAAGTTTCGTATTTACGAGAGGGAACATACGTAAAACGATTCTCAAGTCAGCTTAAACATGACGCGTCACTCAAATGCAACGTAAGAGGAGAAATGGCAAAAAGTTAACGAAGCGTGAGTAAGTCAAGAAACGATTCCAATGGATGGATGAGAATGGGGGATGAAGGGGGATGAAGAGGAGGAGCAGAGAATAAACTTGCATTTCCTATATACTATATTCTTTTCCGCTCGAAGAAATAGACGTTTAAGAAGCGATCTTATCAGGGATACGTCGTCTTTGGTGTCAACGAGTTCTAAGATGTTTAAACATGCTGCATAGAAAATTCATGGTGTCTTCTTTTCTTTCTCTCGTCAAATCTTTGGCCTTAGACTTGAAATAGGTATTAAAAGTAAAATGGTGAGAGCTTTGGTTATATGATTTGTCCAAAATAATCAAAAATACAAGAGAAAATATTTGGGATATATTGGCTAGAATGCAGCACTACACATATCTCTAAAATAACAAAATATTCAAATAAATGTGAAGGACAAAAATGAAAAAAAATTGCGCCCAACGTGGGGCTCGAACCCACGACCCTGAGATTAAGAGTCTCATGCTCTACCGACTGAGCTAGCCGGGCTGTTGTAGTCGTCGTCGAATACTTTTCTATAATTCTTCAATCTCTTTATATATTATCTCTATTAAATAAATAATAGAATAAATATTAATTTGTCACGTAATTTAAACAAATATCGATACCTAATGATCCTAGTATTGTTAAAATTGTATTAAAAAATACTGAAGGTGAACAAAAAATGACAATATTTGACCATTACATTGATGATTTCTAATCTATGACCATGCATTAGAATTTATGATCAGAGATAGTACACAGGTGCAGTAATAAAAATAGTTTTCAAATGTAGATACTTATTTTGATTTACGAGATATTTGCATGACTAACACAATGCTCATGAAAATCACACACAATGGTAAAGAAAAAAAAATAAAAGAGAAAAATTCTCCTTGGCATTTACGAGTATTCGTCGCTAACGTAAAAATCCCCGGAGAATTTCGAAAGTAAAAATAAAGATTTGAAAATCTAAATACACTTGTTACTACTTTGAGAATTTTATCTTTTTAAGATTTGCTTATCTTTCCTTCTCTTTCCAATTCTTGTCATGAGCTCATATTTAGCATAACTTTGGACTTAGTCTATCATCTTATCACTGAAACAACTCTAAATTCTAATGCGACAGTCAGTCTGAAGATTAAGTTTAGTTCTAAAGTTCGGTCAGATCATCGTATTATTTGTTTCGTTTCATGTGAATGCTTTCATAAAATAATAATTAATTTTTAAAATCAGCTAAGTAATTTGGACCCATCTAAAAACTTCTGGCCCCGTGTTACTACGAAAACACTGAATATTATCGAATCTAAATATTTGAAAGAGATATAATAAAAATAATCCCTACGATAATATGATAATAAAGTAATTATTTAAATGTACGAAAAAGGAAAAACTCCACAAAATATCTGAATCTAAAACTAAGATAAATGTAAATTTGTATATACTTAGATGATTTTTATTTTTTTATGGGGGAGTCCTGTTTAGACAAGTACGACACTATTATAGATCAATCTTTACTCATATGTGTATACGCGTGTGCGCGTGTTTTGACTATAGTTAAGCTATTTGTGTGGCTATTTAATTGGCGGGGGCGCCATTGCTCTATACATTATAATATAATAACGAGCCTTTGGGATTTTCAGGAAGGATGATGTTATAATCATCGTTTGGGCAACGGCGCTTGAATAAGGGCGTGACCAGGATATGTATGCTAGTATCGAAAAAAAAAAAAAAAAAAGGAAAAAGAAAAAAAGACCGAACTTATGAAAGGGAAAGATAAGCCAATGGCGTAAAAGACCACCATGAAATATTTTACATTTATTATAGTCAAATTTTGTAAGATCATAAATCGATATAATTGTTAGGCAAAATTTATTATTACGTAAATTAGAAATAAATAATAATTGTTTTCTTAATCTGAAAAT